TATACCAAGCCCCATAGCTTGTTTAACACTGTTTAATGGACAGCAACTAACTTATGTTAACACCTTAGCCCATATATTCCAACTAAGTTAATACAATAGGTCTATCAGTATTGGCAGGAGAAGGCTCCCTCCTGGAAGATCAACCTGTGTGAGGGAGTAGCTCCTGGCTTGAAGTAGTTTCCATTATATACAAGGTTTACGGTTTGGTTCAATGGTTCTCGGCACCCCCACTATGCAAACTGTTCCAGAGCCCCTGGGGAGTGGTGAAGTAGATCTGGATGTTGAAGACAAACTCCAAGCCATCCAAGAGGGGGGCTGGTACAGTACTGGGCCACAGGCACATCTGACCCGACCATCTCTAACAGATGTCCTCTTGGAATCACACCGACAAGTGTGGGAACAGGAACAGAAAGAAGCTCTAGAATCTCAGTACCAGGATACCTGAATCTGACAAGGAGTCAGAATATTTCAAGAGCCAGGGTGGTATGGTACCAGGAGGGGTCCTCAGAGATTGCAATCTGGATATGTACCAACATGATGCCAGAGGAAGCATAACAGGTTTCTTAGCTGCTGGTATCATTTGGTATGGAGGACATCTGGTCACCCTAGGCAGTACTGTCAGGCACAGTAAATCTTTGGCCACTGCACAGGCCTCCAGCATGATCAGCACCAATATGGGCTGTTGACTCACAGAAATTAAGGATGACTGCTCTGTCACAGCTGACAAAATAGCTAACCTTGATGGTTCATGGAATTGATGGCTTGGGTCTGACTGTATAAGCTGGTACCAGGCAGCAGTGAGCCAAAAGGCATGCTCTACCATAGGCCCTGGATTGGCCTTCTGTGGAGGAGTCCCGGGCTGGACTTCCAAAAACGAGACAGCAACTTTTTCTTATGCTTCTGTGGTAAGGACTGTTCAGAAGCCCTAGATTTAGAAGATGGTCCCAGTGATCAGGAACTCCTCCGGCACGGCTCTGCTAGTAAGGCTGGAGGAATCTCTGAGGAACTTCCCTTCAGTGACCAAGAGGGTTCCGATGCTGGTCTCAGGGCTGCCTCCCTGAGAATGTATCAGAGGCACTCTTCTCTGTTTCTTTGTCCTAGTCTTGAACCCAAGACAGATGGACTTAATCTGACCCTCACCCAGGCACTAAAGACAGTGCAAATGAGTGTCATTAACAAGCACAGACTTTCTGAAGCCCACACACAGCTTGAACCCCAGGGTCCTTGGCACTGGTTCTCCTGGTACTGGGCAGGGCCCAGAGGCCTTCTAAGTGAAACTCAAAGCAAGAGTATAAGAAGTTAAAAGAAAACTAAAACCACAATGAAAATAATAAAGATTTTTGAGTGTCAAGGGCAAAAGAGTAAAAGCTAGGTAAGTAGCTCACAAGAAACACTAATACTCCAACCACAGAGGGTGAAAAGGAACTGAGGGAAGGGCAGGGAAACTGCCCTTTATACCCTCATTTCACAGCATGAGTTGCTTCGCAATTGGCAGGGCCACTGCCTGGGTACCACTAGGAAAAGCTGTCTGGCATCAGTGCTGACAAGGCATGCAGACACCTACGCTGTAATGGACATACACAAGCACTCACAAAAAAGAATTTGTTCTTGCCTTCTGGACACACATACATACCAAAAGTGAACAATGCACATAGATAAACTTGAAAAATAATAAACACTAGCGAATTTCCCAAGATAAGCCATGATGTGCACAACGTATCATTGACTAAGATTGGCCCTTCACACTTATTCTTTCCTTAACTGCCATCAGTAATGCCCGTGAATCTTTCAATAGTCCTATACACATTAACACAAATACACTGGAGTGACTACAGCACATTTTTCAATAGGTAGAATTCCATATTTTATATACACCCACATTTATTTATTTATAAATAAATAGTGTACATGAAATAAAGACTAAATATGGAGATAATTTTATAGAAGTGGAAGCAAAAGACAGTGCTACATTGCATTAACTAGTTAGGGTAATTCTTTAGCATTATAATGCCCCAAATTATTATAATTTAACAAAAAATAGCTATAGAACCTTGGAAGTCTTATTAAAAAGCTCTCTCATCTGTATTAAAAAAATCACTAATGCTTGCATTGTATTACTGAATGTTCCTTCAAATAAAGAGACTATGATATTATTTTCCTTTCATAAGCTAGTGGAAAAAGCCTTAAGCTATGGATGATGACAATAAGATAGTATTATGAATTTGGTCGATTAAAAATAGATTAAAAGGGAGAAAAAATTCTTCTTGTAATGTTGCCAAATTGCCATAAGCTAGTGGCATTTAAAATACAGATTCTGCAGTCAAATCAAACTCTCACGTTTCTTAACATTTCCAACAAGCTGACCAGAGAGCAAACCTTCTGTCCTTTAAATGAAGCCAGTAATGCCCAGGGCAAATATTAAATTGGAGGAATAAAATGTTCAGATATAGAACTTGATCTTGAAACAGCTCTGAGGTGAAAAACTCAAAGGTCAGTTTGTGCATAGAACACACAAGCAGCATTAATAAATTACAGTAAACTTGAGGGACAGACTGACAAATAGAAGCATCAAGCTTACAAACAGAATATTAATTTAACTGAGGTATCTATTAAGCACATGCTTAAGTGCTATCCTGAATCAGGGCCACATTGTACACAACACCCATATCAAAGCACATGGAGCAAAATTTCACCCTGAACATATTTGGCACATAATTATATCATCATACTATGTGTAATCAATTTTAAATACTGTATAAGTACACCATGAATTATATTAATATATTTTTAAAAATCGAGTTGATATCTTCATCAGTACTGTAACTCCCTCAAACTGATCATTTTTCTGAATTAATTTATCACCTATAAATTACAACCATGAAGATTAATAGACATTATTAAGGCATCAACTGGAGACTCAAAATCACACAGCTGCCAATGGTCTTGATATGGCTGGGGCTCTGATATTTTAAATTTAACACTGAGAAGGACAGTCCTAGCCTCTCTCATTACAGCACCACTGAAGTTTCTTTTAAACAGCAACACCAGCCTCCCGCCAATGAAAGGACATGCACACCAAGGTGATGGGCAGTACTCTCACACCTGTAAGACTGCTGGCTGAGTGCACTGCACAGTCAGTCTTATTGTCAGGACTTATCTCATCTACACTCCATCACAGATACAAGCAGGAGTGGAAAATAATCCAGGCTGTGAGAGTGGCTAGAGAGGGCAGTCAGCCAGTGAGCCCCAAGCAGTAGCAACACTTCACAACAGCCATCCCTCCCCTTCTCTCTAATATGACGAGAGGACCACAGTTTACTAGTCCTTTGCAGTAGGCTTACAAATCCGGGATTCTTAGAAAGAAGAAAAATTCTCTGTGGACGATCACCTTCACTTGCTTAAAGCTGCACTGGGCAGAATAGTGTGGTGATGGTTCAAGGTATGATCAATTGTGCTTCAGATGGAGTTACAGATGCAGTCAACTGCACTGGAGCCAACGGACAGAAATGCGGTCAGCTGTTCTTTGGGGGAAAGATGGATGTGGGAAAATGGAGAAATAAGAATGTAACAGGAAAGAGGGGGAAGACCCCATGCTCCCATCACCCTCCCTGAACGTCTACGTCAGAAAAGTGAAAGAGGAAGATACTGAGTGTGACTGAGCTCACTGTGGTCATCATCCTGAACAAACCATTATTAATATCTATATTACCGTAGCACCCAAAGGCCTTAACTAGGCTTGGCAGGATTCAATTTAAATCAATATATGTTGGTAAAGTCCACGTCACCTGACATCTGAAACTGACAAAAAAACCCATATCACTCGGTAACAGTTGCCCAGAGTGCCTCCCCCAACATTTTGTACCTGCAGGGATCGGGTGTCACCAGCTCAGCAGCAGCACAAATTGCTCTCTGCTGCCTCGCTCACTCACTCTTGTGACAGCAGGACTGCAAAGAGTTCCCTGAATAGCTGTAGAGCCAGTGACACCCCATCCCTGTAAACGTAAGGGGTAGGGAAGTATGTGGTCTTGGCAGGACAGAGCAGAGAAGGAGGACAAGCCCCCAGCCCTGGGGGTGGCCAGCACATTGTTGTCACAGCTGTCGCAGCCCCGCTCACTCAGCCACCAGCCAGGACTGTGGGAGCTGTCCCTGGCAAGAACTATTCAACAGCACCGTATCACCAGAGGCTAGTCTTCCTCTGTGCAGTCCTGGCCGGAGGTCTCTGTTCCACTGGGCCACAACCACAGCTTCTCCTGCACCTTGTGCCTTGGGGTCTCTTGGGCCCTTCTGCCATGCTGGGAGTCCCCTGCAGCCCTGCTGTCAGTGCTGAGAACCTCCTGCAATGCCACTGTCTCTGCTACCCTAACCTTGACCTTCCCCATCAATTTCCAACTGTATAAATAAATAGTTAAAAATTGAAAATAAAAATCTTGAAAATGAAAATGTATATTAATTGTTGAAATTAGAAAAAAAAATGAAATTCTGCCAAGCCCAGCCTTAATCAACACTAAGGCCCCTGCATGCTGAACACTGTAGATACATAAAGGTGTGCATGTGCAGACATAGTCCCTGCCCCAAAGAGCTTACAGTCTAATTAGACAGGAGTTCTAGATCTCTGGGCCTTGATCCAACAAGGCAACTAGCAGGAGGGAGAGCCTGCTGAGGAATGAGAATTTGGTAGGATCTCCACAGGTTCCAAAAGAAGGCTGACACAGTTTCCATAAAATCAAACTTCTGGATGTTTTTTTAAAATGACCAGACCTTTTAAAGCCTAAAATTAATATACTAAATATTCTAAAATTAACCTGCCAGCACACAATACGTTTTGTCTGCTAAATCTTCAGTTTCGATGGAAAATTATCCCTCTATTTTCTTTTTCTGAAAATTCCAGCATTGAAAATTATAAAATCATTACAACATAAATATAAACATGAATAAAGAAGTTACTGTAAATATCTCACTATTGTATATGCACTAACAACAATTATCTTAATTCTACTTACCATGTCCTCGTATTAACTTCATATCTATAAAGGTCATCCACCAATCCATATTTATTGCCAGGTAATGCTTTGTATCCACCATGAACATAAATGGATTTTGTCATTTCATCATAGACACTAGTATGACCATATCCACCTTGTACAATTGCTCCTTTTGTTTCTGGTACAAGCCATGAATTTGATCCTGGAAGAGACACATGAGAGACATAAAATAATACTCTAATCTTACAAGGACCTACTCCTGGGATAAGTGCTTACTTAACACCCAAAGAAATCAATCGTAAAATCAGGGACTAACAGTTTATATCTTTGAAACCATGTAGAAGTGTTGGATATATTGTGCATGTTTTTCCAAGTTTTTAAATTGGCTTGGCTCATATTAAAAATACCCCTATGTAAACATAAAACGTTTAAATCTATAATACAAGCAAGAAATGATAGATAGATAAATATTTAATTTTTATAATGTCATATTCTGAAGGCTAGGCACATACTTTCCCAACTGAAAAATAACTTTTGCATAAAATAAAAGTAATCTTTATTGCCCTTCACCAGTTTACAATACACACACATGCACAGTAATACATTTGGCATCATGTAATGTTTTGTTTGCTTGTGTGGCTATAACTTGTAAGCAGCAGCTGGGTCTAAGATTAACTGTTGGTCAGACATAAATTTAGGCAGAGAAATTACAGCACTAATTACAGCCTTTTATTGGTGATAGAATGAGCTTCTAAAAAGAACTGGATCACAACTTATAATAAGCATTCCTCTAAGATCTAATTCCTATACATTCTGATAAACAGAAGGCCAACTGGCAATATCACTGTCTGGTAATTCCCAACAATGCTACATATTCTACTTCCTTTCCTCAAAATTTGAAACACTCTGTCATCACCCAATTCACCCTATGAAAACCTTCAATATTCTACAATGTTATTTTTGGGGTAAATTTGCTATATAACAACCAGATAAAACTACAATTTATATTTAAAGGAACCCCATCAACCTGTATATCTAATTTTTTTAACTGAATATAGTTATTCACTATATTTATAAGTAACACCTACAATTATTAAAAGTGAAAGAAGCCGGCAACAAAAAGAAGTCCCCCCGCCCCAATTTGTTTACTCTGTGCATTTGACTCTATTCTGTGTAACACCATTTCCACTGCTTTGTTGATGGCCAATTGAGCTTCCTGTCTCATGTACTAACATGATGACATAATTTATTTCACCCTTCAGGGAAGGCTCAGCTGCATGCTCTTTTCCTGGCTCTCCAAATCTATGTTTACCAGTATCAACAGCAAACAAACTGAAGAGATGGTATGCAGGCATGTGCACAAAATGGAAGAACAACAAAAGACTGAATATATTTAGTGCTGTTGCTCTGCCTTATTTTTTAATAAGACCCTTATAAATATCTTCTTGGTATCTAAAGAAACTATAATTCTGTGCACTTTATTTAAGCCATCGATTCAGTCAGGCACATAAGTATGTACTTAAATTAAAGAATGTGAGTAAATCCATCCCTACTCAGTAAATAAATTAAGCACATAATTAACTTCAAGAATAAATCATCCTATTGAAGTCAATGGGACTTCAGCACACGCTTAAACTTAAGTACATACTTTTGTGCTCGGATGAATTGATGTCTAGGCAATATTCTATCAGAAGTATAGTATGTTTTTTTTTAAATTAGTCAACTTCAGAACTTCAAGTTAACAGTATCCTTATAACGAAAACAAGAAGGTAACATTTATTGCACCACTGAAGTTTCTTTTAAACAGCAACACCAGCCTCCCGCCAATGAAAGGACATGCACACCAAGGTGATGGGCAGTACTCTCACACCTGTAAGACTGCTGGCTGAGTGCACTGCACAGTCAGTCTTATTGTCAGGACTTATCTCATCTACACTCCATCACAGATACAAGCAGGAGTGGAAAATAATCCAGGCTGTGAGAGTGGCTAGAGAGGGCAGTCAGCCAGTGAGCCCCAAGCAGTAGCAACACTTCACAACAGCCATCCCTCCCCTTCTCTCTAATATGACAAGAGGACCACAGTTTACTAGTCCTTTGCAGTAGGCTTACAAATCCGGGATTCTTAGAAAGAAGAAAAATTCTCTGTGGACGATCACCTTCACCTGCTTAAAGCTGCACTGGGCAGAATAGTGTGGTGATGGTTCAAGGTATGATCAATTGTGCTTCAGATGGAGTTACAGATGCAGTCAACTGCACTGGAGCCAACAGTCCAACAATGTTTATTATACTTGCATATTCAGATAAAAAAGTAATACCATAGGGTAGTAATACAATAAACCCAATTAAACAAAATCTGGCAACAACCCTGATTTTAAAGTCATATGATGCAGTGTAACTGTAGAGGAGAAAATGTGCATATATTTCATATCCATTTCAAATACATTTGTCACAATATACAGTTATTTTCAGAATAATTATAATAATAATTTCTCTTTCAAATTAAGCATATTTTATCAAAATTGTCCTTTGGCTCCTTCCTCCAGTTACCAAGGTCGCTTTGATAATGTGTCTGTTACCTTGTTTTAGAAAGCAGACACTTTAAAACCTTTTTTCCTAGAAAAATATAGTTCCACACCTATAACTTGGCTAACATTCTTTTTCCACTGATCATTTCAGATTACCTGCCACAACTAAATTTTAATAAAAGTACTAAGATTTGAACACCATATTTTGCTGTACTGCGCAGTGATAAAAATTATCACCAAAAAACCTATTCATCAAATAAAACAACTTTTTATATATGAGTAATAAAATACAACTCCTAAGTCATCAGGACTAGCTTAATATTCAGATTGCTACAGTGAATTTAATCACTTTACTGCAGGCCTTAACTCATTTTTTTTTAAAATTCAACAACTGTTGGCTTGATTATTGTTCTGAAACATAGATCATATTATATTATTTGGTATTTTTGTTATAAGCCCACAATGCAGAAAGGACAGAACATATTTATAGGTCAGTAGACACAATAACTTCTCATGAAGTGTGCTAGATACAAATGGACAATTAGCTTCAGAAGCTAATAAAGAGAGACTATTAAACTAATCCATCTGAATTTGCAACCATTGCTTGTTAGTTATTTAATTGACAATATGTCTCAACAGTTCAGCTGCTGAAATTCACAAAAGGATAAGTCTGTTAATAGCAAATGTAATGTAAAAGCAAAGTCATATTCAAATCCACTTTCCACATCACATTTCAAACCAAGAACATCAGGTCAAGCCAGCCAGTTTGTAAAAGTTGTGCTAATCACAGATGCTTCTCTGGGTCTCGGTTTTTAGGGAGTATATCAGTACAATACTACGGCATCCTCCAGAAGAAACACGTGACCACTTCACCTGATAGCTATGGAAAGTGGGAAAAGGCTACCGCATTCTGGGTGAATGCAGCAAAAGATGCAAGCCCAAGAACTACATTTGGATCCCCTATATGTGGGAACGATGTCAGGAAAATCAAGAGCAGTAGTTGAGACTCTGAAGAGAAGAAGAATGTACATTGTATACAAGAACCAAAAATGGAAGGGGTTGAAATCCACAAACATCAGGGATGGTTACAAGATAATGTATGATGGTTCAGTAGCAAGGAGGAATGGGGTAAAAATAATCATAGCAGAAATATTAAAGAATAGGGTAGCAGACATCCAAAGGAACAGTGACTGGCTCATGAAAGTTAGAATAGCACTGAGCAGAGAACATATATTTAATGTTATATGCACATACATGCCGCAGATTGGCTATATGATTGAGTAGGAGGAGGCATACAAGATGGGAGTGAAGTGCAGTGATTCCAATGTTAGTAGGAATCTGTGTTTGCTACGTATGATACACTGATTTGCAGTGCCTATTGCTTTCCTGGGTTAAGGTATCTTTTACTTTATGCAATAATAAAGAATGTTTTCAAAGAAAAAAATCCATTTATTGAAAAGAAAATGCATTTATTGAAAAGAAACACAACTGCTTGGGAAACAGAAAAACCAACGGGGTGGAGTGGGGAATGGTACAATCACAGATTTGCATATGTTCTGTTACCATACTCAGCCTTCCTGTCTGGAGTGCTGTGCAATGAGTGCTGCACTTCAGGATGGCTATACTGCATGGTGATGGGGGTTGAGTGCAGTGGGTAAGGGTCGTAGTTTTCAGGGCTGGGTGGTGAAACTACAGCTGTTGGAGGTAGCTGGTGGCGATAAGAACCCGGATGTTGGGGAAAGTGGGTTGGAGGTGACATGGGGCCACAAGGGAAAGAGTATCGGGACAAGGGCTGCAGGGGGGTGCAGGCGCGGTAGTGCTCTGCCTGCATGGCTACAAGTGCCTGGATCAAGTCCGCTTGGTGCTCCATGATGCTTATCAGCGGCTCCGTGCTTTGGTGCCAGCGATCCGCATTCTGCTGGCAGACCCTCCTTTCACTCTCCCACCACTCCTGCACTTTTCGATTTTCATTAAGGGAGTGAGTGCTTCATGACTTCATGCAGCATGTCCTCTTTGCTTCTACGTGGCCTCTTCCTGATTCTTTGCAGCCTCTCGGCTGGTGAAAACACAGACGGCTGAGATCTCAAGGTTGCATCTGTAAAGGCAAAATGCAACACTTAACAGAGGCGGCATTGTTCACACCAGACAGAGCAATGATTCCCCTGTACTTAAGGAGGGCACGCAGTCTACACAATAGCATAATTTGCCCGTCCCAAAGCGAGCGCACATAACCCACGGGAGCCACAAAATGGTGAGTAAGCACCGGGTCAGGGGGGACTGATTCTTTCATGGCTGTACTGTCCTTTCGGTTTCTGTGCCTTCGGGAGAGCCAACAGCTGCAGGGGGTCCCTATACTGAACACTGTCCCCACATTTTCCACAGGAGTTCGTCCTGGAAGATATCTCGCTGCTGAGGGTGACCTGAGAAGCAAGGGAGGGTCTTCTAATGCGGCTTCCACCCTGGCCCATATGCAGGTTGCCTGTGTGCAGCAATGGTGCCACTGCCCCTCACAGCACAGTGGCACAGACACGTTAGCCTGACTCGGACAAGGACCACAGTGACTCTTCCAAGAAACCTGCGCAAGCGCATTCCCCAAGTTCTCGCTGAGACCTTTGAAGAGATCACTGAGGCCGAGTACCGCAATGTGAGAGAGCACATCAGTGCCCTATCTAGGCAT